GAGCCCTTTAGGAGGCCAGCCTCCTGCAAGGCAGGGCTGGCACCGACCATCTTTCTCTCCAGAAGCCATCACTGAGCCCGGGAACAGGCGGACTTCAACAAACGCACGGTGGGTGCTGGGTGGTGTGTGGTGTGTCACTCCATCAAGGGACACATGGTGATGGGATGTGGCTTCCTTCTTGGCGTCAGCCTCAGAGATTAACAACGTCTTCCAAACACCCAAATTTACATTCATGACCCACCATTGGTCTCTTTCCATTTTCTGCTTTAAAAAAAAAATCAATTTCTGTTTTCATCCTTTCTCGCTGCTTCGGTGATTTACTTGTATTGTCTACACTGCGTAGAATAAAATCTTGTTTGTTTAGGCTGTCACCTCACAAGTTTTGGGGTGGCCTCTGCATCGGGGACTGAGCCATAGCCACAGGTCAGTGTGTCTCCTTGCTTCTCCACTACTTCTTGGTGGCCTAGGGTATCTTTTCTAGAACATTCTTGAGTTGCAGGCATCTGGGTTATGTTTCCACCTTATGAGGGCAGGACTGAATGTGACATTCTATGTTCAAGTGAACTTGGCCAGGATGATGGCTTCTGCTTGCCTGTTTTTTCCCTGGAATCCCATTTGAATGCTACCTGATATTTTGTTGGCCTTCGTGGCTGCCTCGAATATGGGGAGAAGCAAATGGCAGTGCTGAGACCCCTCCTGATGCTAGCTGTTACCATCACAGTATCTAGCAACTCAGACACAGCAGACCGGGGGTTGCTTTGCATTTATTCACGACTTACTGAGCACCAGCCACATGTGGGAGGTGTTGTGCCGAACATGACAGGGACGACCCTGCCCCATGACACTCACTGTCCCAGAGCTATTTGCCCATGTGGCAGCTCGCTCTGCACTCTCAGCCCCTGCAAAAGGCTGACCGGCTTTTTGTAGTTCACATTCACGGTCAGGCTTCCTGCTGTCCCATAGAGCTCGGAATCATCTGCACGTTCTCCTGCTCCCTCGGTCAGGCCATTTATAAAAAATATTAAATAAGACTAGTCATAACACTAGTGCTCGGGGAGTCCCCAGTTCCACGTCTCCACGCAGAAATGTGCCTTTTCCCGCCTCTAAGTCAGTTCTCTCCTCATGGCCAGACTGCCCAAAGTCCCATGGAGACTCATTATTTTTAAATACCTTTTCATGTGGAGCCTTGTCAAAGGCTTTTGGAAAATTTAAATAGTTAAGAGACAAGAGCTGAGCTGGGATCTGGGAGACCTGGGTTCCGGTCCTACTTGTCACTGGTTTGTCATTGAACTTTGGAAAAGGCACAGAACAGCCCCAATCTGAGTTGCTTCGTCAGTAAGATGAGAATGATTATGCTGGCAGTCAACATCATAAAAAATTCACAGCCAGCAGATGAGACACTGTTATTTAAGAATGCTTTGCAAGATACAAAACAAAAATATAAGGGATCATTATTTAGAAAATTTACAACAGCATCTTTATTCATATGCATGTTTTTCTCCCAAAAGAACTGCAGTAGGTAAAACCACGTTTCCTCCCACCCCATGGTGATTTTTGTTTAAAGTCAACTCCTTTGACTCCTGGAAGGGATGTGGGTTTACACAACCCCATAGAGCCCGGTTCAGAGCGAGCGTTTGGTGCAGCATGGATGCTGGAATCAATGAGATCTTGGTGTGGGTCCAGTCTGTGTCCTCCTTGAATAAGTTATATAATCGTTCTTGTGCCTCCTCTGCAAATTGGGACACTATTAATGCTTCCTTTACTGAGTATGAGATTTAAATGAGAAAATAAATATATGTAAAATGCTTAGCATTGTGCCTGACACATAGTGGACACTTCATAAATAGCAGCGTTTATTGCTGTTTGTCTGTGTAAAGGCCCAAGACCCACAGCTGGTCCATCCTACCTCAATTTTAGGATTTTCCATCAGACATCCAGCAGATTCCACCAAGAACTCCTTTTATTTGTGTCTTGTGTGAGACCCTTTCAGCAGATGGATAAGTGAGTGCTTTCCTTTCTCTTTTTGGACAAGTTGCAGGAGGGGGTGGGGCAGGAAGGAGCCGAGGAGGATGCCTCTCCCGCCACTTATGGCCACCTGGCCGAGTGCCGACAGTTAGGGACGTTACTCCATCCAGCCTCCTTGCAGAAGGCCAGGCCTGTGACAACTTGCCCAATTGGTGCTTTCTGCTCCATGCCTTGTCCACCCCGCTGTCCCTGCCCCAGGCCAGCTCTGGTGTCCTCTGATGCCCACCTGTGTCCAGCACACCCCTCATGCTGAGGAGCAGGGAAATTGGGGCCTGATGATAAAGAAGACCACTCAGGCACTGAATCCAATTTCCTGTGGGGATCAGACCAAGGGACTCTGGATGGGACTTAGTTCCACCAGCGTTCCCCACGGGAGCGTGCTCCGGCCGACGGCGGCCTGGGAGGGCTGGAGACCAGCCAGGGCGCTCGGTATCACTCTCCGCTCCCACTCCAGGGGTGCTCCCAGGTGGGGATGAAGCCTGGCTGGGCCGGGGGCCAAGGCCATCACTACGCTGTCAGACTTGGGTGGTAATCCCAATTGGTTTTGCATGAACTCCTGTTTCATTCGGATTAAGAAAAGACCTGGCCGGCATGGACATCTGGAGGCTTGGGGATGGGCAACAGAAGGAGGGCCCTGGGAATCCGAGGCATTTTGATTTTTGGCGCTAACCATGCCTCTTTAATTCCTTGAACTGTTGTTGTTGTTTTCATGAGCTTAATGGGAAATCAGCAAAGAGGAGTCTCAACTTCATTCATTTATTTCTTCATTTTTAAAATGAATATTTGTCCAGCTCAAGTGCTTTAGCATCAAACTCAGGAATGACTAGGGAAAATCTCTGGAATTGTAGAGACCAGAGCCAGACCCTGACCTCAGCCCCCTGCCTTTAGGGAGCAGCCACCAGGAAATGAACGTGAAACCCCTCCGGGAACAAGATCTCTCCCGTGCTGGGTGGTGGGAAAAGCACAGACTTCGGAGTCATACCGGATTCTAATTCTGTCCCCAGATTTTATAGCTCAGGCCAGTTGCTCAAAGCATTTGGGTCTCATTTTCCTCATCTGTTATCATTATTATATCAGTTAGGACTTTTTGATGTTGCCGAAAAACCTTTGTAATACTTTAACAAAAAGGAAGTATCTTGAGCAACTGGGACGCTCCAACATCAGGCAGACTTTAGGGTTACTTTCATTCAGTGGCTCAATGATGTCACCAAAGACCAATATTTTCCCATCTCTGTGGTTGCCCTGCCCTGGTTCTAGCTCCCCTCCTTGCTACAAGAGGGCTGCCAACAGATCTTTGAGCTGCATGTCTCCTCGACCCTATTATGGGTGAGAAGCCCGTCATGAGCACCTGCTTTGCTCTGATCGGACACGTTGGTTGGCTTAACTCTTCTCTCTCCATCACTGTGGCAAGAGAGTGAGATTAAGCCGATTTGTCTATGCTCATCAGGGACTTCCCCAGGAAGCAGGGAGTGGGTTCAACCCACCCAAAGGCTGAGAGAGTGCGGGATGGATGCTGGGGGTCTGTGAGCCATGGCAAATGAGCACTAAATGCATAGGATTGAGAGGATTGTACCAGTAAGGAATTATGCTCAAAAGCATCTCCCAGTACCTGATATCTAGAAAGCTTAAAAATAATACTTAAAAGGAAAAAAAAAAAATCAGAGTCTGGAACAAACCTAAACTCAAACCCGTAAACCACGGCTTAACCTGATGTCAGAGTTCCGTGAACTCCGGAGAAATGAGAGGCAGCAGATTCCCTGGTGACCTGACGAGATGGGTGGACATTCGTGTGTTGGCCTTCCTGTAATTTAGTTCCTCGGAATGACTCTTTTATTCTCTTTGCTCTCATGAGAGGTCAACAATTACATATTAAAGATTAAAAATAAGAGTCCATAATGGGAATATTTGGAACATGATTTTTTCCTTAGTTTTGTTATCGAAATCTCTAACATGACACTGCGTGTACCTTACAGAGTCTCGCTTGCACTGGTGGCCTCTAATCAAGCGCGGTGAACGCTTAGCTCTCGCCGACCACAGAGGGTCATGCCTGTCCCCGACTCCAGTGAGCAGTGGCGCCAGCATGGGGCATGCTCGTGTCAGATCAGTGCGCTCAGACTCACGAGGTTTCTAGAGACCTGAGCCAACGCCCAGGGGCCAGGCGAGGTTGGGCAGGGCTGGGGAGCCGCGTGTATTACAGGTCTGTTCTCAGCCACGAGGCACGTGGGCACAAGTCTTCTTTCGGCTCTCTCCACGTTGTCCCAGCATTTCTAGGAAGGCCTCGTGGATGGCCAAGGGCACCTACTCTGCTAAGTGTTCTGGGAAGACTGAGGGTGACTCACGCCTGAAGCACATTTCCTGTAATGCCCACACCCCCTTCTCTGGGGACACGAGCAGAGCCTCCAAGAGGTTCCAGGACCCAGTGGAATAACCGTCAGTCACTGGCTTCCATGGCCAAAAAGAGACCCGTTAGTGTGAAACCTCTGGGGTTGGTCCCCTGCCTCGTTCCCCTTCAAGGTGCAGCAGTGACATCAGGTAGCGGTTCCAAAGAATTCTCCCCCATCCTTATAGCAAAATTCTCTCTGCTAATGAATGTGGCAGATACGGTTGCCTTTCCAAGGTCACATGACACTCAGATGTGAGGCAGCCTCAGTTATCCGCTGTCCCCCATCCCCGCAGCCCTACCCTCCTCTCCGAGGACCAGCAGGGCCTCACATGCTCGTTCCTGAGGTGCGGGGGACCAGGAGAACGAGACTGGTGGAGCTGGCCACGGCCTCTCCCCCGTCTCTCTGCCATCCCCATCACGAGGCCTGGGGCGGGCCTGTGTCACTTGGCTCCGTGGCCCCAGCCTCTGAGCACTGCGGGGACAGAGCTTGCTGCCTCTCCCGCGGCTGCCGGAAGGGTCTCCGGGGTGGAGTTCGGCTGTGGCAGTGCTGGATCTGAACTCACGCTGCCTCTGCTCTTCCTCCTCTCCACAGATCCGGGTGGATGGGCCCAGGGGCGGCGCCCTGCAGTACGAGACCGTGCAGGTGGTGGACCCCGGCCCGGTCCTGCGGGATATGGCCTTCTCCAAGGACCATGAGCAGCTCTACATCATGTCAGAAAGGCAGGTAAGGTTCTCTGGGCTCTGCCAGACATTTGTTTTGCAGCTGAATACTAGCCTGTAGCTCGGTGGAAGCCTGGGGGAGGCCGCTGCGGAGAGCTGATTTGAGGTTTTCGGCTCAGTGTGCATCTTTTCAGTTCTGCTGCCTGGGCACCGAGGTGGGGTGTGCTGAAACAGGGAATGGAACATTTATTATAAAATGTCAAACTATCGGCGAGTCTAGAACAAATCCCCTGACTTCAAAATCATGGTGTCTATAAGTTCAGGGCCAACATTTGCTCTCTTTTGAAGAAATGTGGTATAGATGCCCAAGTTTGGGGTCCAGATTTCCCTACATAAAATATAGTCTACCAAAGTCACGTTCCTGTATCCGAGAGGCTGGTGGTGGGAAGGGTTTATTACCCAAAGAGCCTAGCTAAGGGAATGTCATGGAAAAGCCAGACAGGTGAAGATTTAGGAAAGAGAGTCTGTGTGGTGAGACAAGATGAGAGAGCGTGTGCTCAGAGCCTTCCTGTTACCTATAACTCTTTGTGGAACTTCTAGCAAATTCCATGCAGTCAACCCAGGCAGGACAGATATGGTGTTAGCTGATACCACATAGGAAACAGCCAAGTTGGGCTTGGTCCTGGAACTCAGCAGAGAACTGAGTAAGTTCCTTGGGGTTCCCTGAGCGCAGACCAGGAGTCCTATATCTGTGGCAGGCAAAGGAGCAGGTTTCACCTTGGACATTCCATATATGTAAGGGTATTTCCTGGAGTCCCCTAATTCCACCCCACAGTACTCAGCCCACCCCAAGTGCTGCCATCCCTCTGCCCCGCCACCTGTGTGTAGGAAGCTCACTTCCGGCCTGTGGTTGTGTGTGTTAGCTCTGAGTGGCAGAGACCGTGAGCGGCTGATCTCCCCTCTTGTTCGACTTCATTAGCGTGGACTGAACTCTCCGTAGGACCTTGCTGACAGTGTCCGGATTGTTCCGCCTGTCCCCTCTCCACATAGTGGGGGAGATGAATAGCACATTATGCCACCCACAGGGCTTGTGCATTGTGCCTTGGCAGCCTGCAACAGCTCCATCCCCCCCACGGGCTCGATGACATCTTCTCATGGGGTGGGACTCCCCGTTCTTGGGCGTCAGCCACACTGGGGTGCATTGTGGTGCCCTTGCTGAGGCTGCCGTGGCCTGGAAATGGCCGGGTGTGAGGCTGAGGGTGGAGTGTTTTTCCCTGGGTGTGGGGGCTCCAGAGATGGAGGCAGCAGCTGGGCGTGAGACTCCCCCCGCTACCCCCCTACCCCCCGTCTACACTCCTTACTTTTGTACTGGGGTCCCTGCTCCACTCCCTGCCCACCTCCCAGGCCCTGGAAGCTGAGGGGAAGCAGCTTTCCTGGGTGGAATGAATCATTTGGAGAAGGTCTGCACAAGGCCTAGAGTATTCCTTGCCTGGCCTACAAGCCAGAATTTCTGAGCCTGGGACTTAAAGCATCAAAGGGCTTTCAAAGATGGAAAATCTAAGTTGATAATCTGTCAGCCCCCTCTGAGAAGTTAGCCAGGATTCTGAGTGTCTGAATCTTTGCCTCCCTGTGTGTCCCCGCTGGTTCCCCTTCCCTGGTGGTGCCGTCCTCACCCAGGGAGCGTGGTGGGGAGGCGTACTGGGAGCTCTGGATCATGGGCACATTGGAAGGGAGCGTGGGTAGAGTCAGGGCGTTCATCCGTTCTGGGTCTGCCCCTCAGAGGTGGGGTGGCCTGCCATACAAGTCACAATCCTAAGGACCCCAATGCCTAGGCCAACACCAGTATTCACTGGGTTTGTGGATTCTCTGTAGGGAGTGGTGATCTCACACACTGGTTATGTGCACCGACAAGCCTTGGTATCTGAATATCTGCGCGTGAATCTTGGCTCTACCATTTATTAAGTGTGGTCTCAGGCAAGTTCCTCACCTCCTTCAAAGCCAGCATTCTCTACTGTCATCTGGAGGCAGTGATGATATCGGGTGGTGGTGTTTCAAGAATTGAATGAGATCATGCACGTGGTGAGCTTAGAGCCAAGGCTGGCGCAGAGTAAGTGCTTGATAAACGGAGAGGCTCTGCAACAGGAGTTTCCCGACACTGGCCGTGTTCGGAGTCAGGCAGGGACAGCCGCTAGGATTCCAGATGAGCCATCTGGGTTGCAGCACAAGAGTCCAGGTCAAGGCCCAGGCGGGCAGGGGCCAGAGATCCAGTCCCAGGGGAGAGCACACCAAGAACCCACGGCCTGCTGTACCCACTGGGCATGCGGAGTTGAGCTCAGGGCAAGAGCCACGTGGTGAATACACCTGGAGACCCGCCAGCCCCAGGGCCTGGGGACTGATTCCGTCTGCCAGCCGGTGGGTCTGCCTTCCGTGCTGGGTCACAACACCTTGCGGACTCAGACTGCCGGCTGAGGGTGTGTGCTGGGCAGTGGCGTCAGCTCTGCCTGGAGAGCACGTTCCTTTCCCACCTGGCTTGTTTTCCCTTGTCCGTTGAAACTTAGCTCAGCATCACACTCTTCCATGGACTGTTCCTGACCTGCAGTTAAACTCCTCTATGGCAGCTCTTCCCGGACTGGGCTGTGATGACGGCTTCCTCCTCTCTCTCCCCCGTCAGCAGCATGGGGCACCTCTGCGTCTTGTCTGCCTAAGCCTCACCTCATAGGCCTGTGATCGCTTTTCAATGAATGAATCCCCCATGTCTTCATTGAACCAGAATTGAAAAAGAGAGGGGCTAACACAAATTATCTACTGCTTATATTAATTATTAGTTGAATGAATGAATGAACTAATCTGGGTTCAAGAGGTCTGTGGTTTCAATTCTGCCACTCTGGCTGCTCCTATGAGTAAAGACTAAAATCCACCATAAAAGACATCTGCAACTGTATTTCCAGATCTCCATGGAAGGGCAGTCTCTCCAATCCTAAACACAGTGCAGAGACAATCTTAATTATAACCCAAGAGACCTGCATTGATTGAAGGACACATTTCCCAACAGGGAGTGTTGTGCAAGAGAACTGGTGGTAGAAAATGCTCGTCCAAGCTTAGATTACACCCTCTCTCCTCTCTCTGATCTTTTGGGAGCTGCGGCAGGGCAGTAGCCTAAAGGACCTTCAGGTCCTGGAGTATCTAATGGGGAACCCAAGGAGAAACAACACAGACAAGTGGGGAGAGAGATGGAATGAGCTTGTGAGTGTTTCCCAAATGAAGAGAGTGGGGACCCCCGCTACCATCAGTGGCTTCTCATCACTCTCACTTTCAGCATGAGACCCAAGCTCCTGGTGGGGCCCCTTGGCCCCATGCTGTGACTCCTCCCCACCTTTGCAAGTTTATTTCACAGCCCTGTCCCCTGGCTCCCGGACACCAGCACTCAGGCCTCTCTTCTGTCCCTGAACTTGCTAAGCTCCTTCCTGCCCCAGAACCTTTGTACTTACTGTTTCCCCTGCTGGGCAGACTCTCCCGGCTCTTTCCATGGCTGGTTCCTTCTCGTGCGTACAGACTTTGCTCGATTATCATGTCCTTAGAGAGGCCTCCACTGACCACCCTGTGTGAAGTGTCTCCTACACTGCCATCTTGGTTTCTTCCTGTGACATCTTTCTGTTTATTCTCTTCTGCTGCCTACTACAGTATAAATGTTACCTATTTCCCATCTTTGTGCTCTAGCATCTAAGTTTCTGGAGGGCAGGGACCTTGTCTGTCTCAGTCATACCCTGTGTCCAGCACCTAGAAGATGACCTTGCCCAGAGGGGAGGGGGCTCAATATTTTCTTGTGGAGTTAGTAAGAGGAGAAGGGCTTTGGACCTCACTGGCTGGTGATGAAGGGCAGCCCTTCCTTGAGAGACTTCTGATTCCTGGTCAGGCTGAGACGATGCTGGAAGACTTGGATAGAGATGGCAGGACTCTGAGTTTTGTTAGGAACCGGGTAACTTGGGTTATCTCAGCATCTCAGCAGGCTCTAGGGCATCGCCTCTGGACCTGAGGACTGCTTCTCGTCACCACTTTCTGGACAGGCTAGGGAAGCAAGGGCTGCTCTCTCTCCTACAACCCATCTGCCCCTTCTTACTCCCACGTGCTTTCTGAGTGGTGGTGATATCTGTGCCATCCCCGCCCTCCCTCTGTCTACCTGATTCCATGCTGGCGGACATCAAGTGCAGGAAGGAGACTGAGACAGCCAGGGGAAATATATTGCATCATATCTGAGTACTTGTGAAGGACTTAATGAATCCATAGCTAAAGAAGATTCTAGAGAGATCAACTGAGTTTTTCCCCCTACGTCTGTTTGAAACTTCCCTTGGGTTTCAGTATTCCTTATTCCATCCACTGAAAGAGGCCAGCACTTGGCATGAGGAAAGATGGGCGGATGGTGGAGAGGAAGGGGTGACGATTGTCTGACTCATAGAGGTAGAGAATGAAGTGTGTGTGTGTACACATGTGCATGTCTGTGCACACAAATGCTGTATATTTCCTGGCTCTGTGACCCCAGACAAGTTACAAACTCCCCAGCACCTCATTCATTCAATACTCCACAAATTATTTACTGAGCATGCACTCTGAGGCAGGCATCCTTCTAGCTGCTTGGGATTCTGTGGGGACCGGAGAGACAACATCCCTGTCCTCACACCTACAGCTTACGTTCTGAGAAGAGAAACAGGCAATGAACGGGAGAACGAGTGAATGAATGAGTGACTCATGCTGGATCGTGGCAAATGCAATGAGAAATTAAACCGACTCAGGAGGAATAAAGCAGTAGCCATGGAAGTGGTGGGAACTCTCTTTTTAGGATGGTTGTCAGGGAAATCTTCCCAAGGGGGGAGCTTTTGAGCAAAGAGCAGAATAGAGTGAAGTGGCAGGGGACAGTGGTCTAGGCAGAGGCACAGCAAGTGCAGACGCTGAGATGGACACATGACGTGGCGTGTCGGCGATGCCCGAGGGCTGCATGGACGGCGAAAGGGGGCAGGGGTGGGAGAGGCAGGCAGCGAGAGGCCAGCTCAGATGGCCCCGGCCTCGTGA